ATTTCAAGCTTTGGTCCAGTAATAGTTTTATTTAACCGTATCAACTCTACTTCTACTTGTTACAGCTGACGGTAGTTCATACAGAACACAGGTTCCCTACTTCGTATAATAGGCACGTCACACAATCACAGGATGGTCAAACACACTATCCGATCAAAACCAACATTACCGCCCTTCTAAGCAAAATGAATTCATTTTAGAGCAGACAACTTCGCTTACTTTGTATTCTTTCCACAAAGCGCTGTTTCCAACAGCATTTGTACAATATTTATTTTGTCGCACAACACGCTGTTCGCTCTAAACACGTGGTAAAAATAAAACTTCCCTTCCCCTATCGCCCCCAACATTCCAGAAAGTGATTGGACATCCAGATCACATAGTTGCATCCGGCGACAAATGTACGCTTTAAATTATGTAGATGTTCTGGAAACACCGCCCCTTGGGATGCAGGCAGGCTGAGTGCTGGCTGAATGTTTCATTCTCTGTAGCTGTGATCACTAACCAGACACGGCCATTCTGACGTGTTCGCATTTTTACCAAACAGTTCGAGCCACGAAGAACTGACAGCTCTCGCCAGGTAAAGGCTACGCAGGGCAGAAACTCCCATTGCGTCTTACGCGTTCTGGGCAGTACGTGCGTAAAATCATCTCTGAAACGATTCATCGAATTTTTATGAAACTTGGAAGTCAGAGGGCGAGGTCCCACACTGAAACCAGTGGAGTGAATTTATTTTTCAATAGTATGCTATAAATAAGCCTACGTCAGCATTTACGAGCATTTGAGCCAGGAAAATTAATTTGTAGCTCATACTGCCAACACGGCGCCTTCGTATATTTGTGTTAATTAAATGCACTGTTTTAAATTTAAAAAAGAAATGCATCCATTTGCACAGTCTCTCATTAGCTCTACTTCGTATACAATTAAAACGTAAAAACGCTGAGTATTGTATACTACTATTGATCCATAACTTTCGTAGACATTGTTAAACTTGTTAACTAACATTACGTTAGAGGTTTCTGATGGGGTAAAACATGATTTTCGTTGAACTTAATCATTCTATTTGTGTAATATTATAATCCTCTTATTGTATACCGTCATTTATGACTACTTTGCCATATTTAGGAACTGTTCGCTTATTCTTGAGGATTTTAATAATTCAAAAAACCTAAAAGTTTTTGAAGGTTGCTGACTATGCTTGTTCTTATTTCATTGGCTACTGTATTATGTTCGTAATGTGCAATTTGTAAATTCATTACAATGTAAATGCAATATCCCCAGCCTGCTTAAGACCCTATTAAATTGCTTTTGATTACTCACGGAGAAAGATTTGGTGGCTGCATCGTCCCTTGTTACGCCGATGTAAAACTAAATGCATTCTCGGTAATGTGAACTTAATCATGTGCTGCACGGGCCCAAATACCCCCTTTAAGTAAACCTCGAATCAAGCTCGACCTTTTTTTTTTGCAGACATCTGTTACTGTAAGAATCATACAGAACCCTTAAATACAAAATACAGAGTTGCTAATTGTTAAGGCAGGTGGTACATATATTTACCACTGGGCTTCAATATGTCAAAAATTACCTAAAGAAGCCAGGAGTGTAACTCAGTTCACGTCGGAAAATATTTTAAATTGCTTCGACAACTTGTTTCTTTACGAAATTTGCTCGATAGATTTATAATTAATTAAAAATTAAATTTGTACGAAATTTACGATCGTCAAACATTTATACGTACACGTACATAATTACGGTGATACATGGTTTGGCGTGCTCCAAAATATTGGAACTATACTTTTGTGTTCTGTAAAGTGTAGAAGGCTGAAATATATTGATCTATAATACAAATATTTTCGCTAGGAATCGATTCTGATAAGTTTCGTAGTATAAACTATATCGAGTTACCAAGGAAACAGCTTGCTTATTATTGTGGGCTACAAGTAGCGCTACGTGGTGGTGCAACAAATTACAGGTTTGTCCTGCACTTACAGGGGCGGGGAACATAAAACGCGGTGTAAAACTTGTTACGACAAACGCTGTAATTAAGCTGATTCCTCTCTACACTCAAATCTCCTCCACATGAATTGTCGGCTCTTAAAACTTGCCAACCTCACAAGCCACTGTTATATAACACCCCATTAAGAGACTCATATACTGTATCTCAGAAATACCAGCAAAATAGGTGGGATTTCGTTTCGGGCAGTCTGCTTAAAATAAATAACGAAAACTAAGTAATTAACTGACTAAGACATGACCCAGGGTCTGAACTTAAAAGTTGCTGGTTACGCTGCTAGTCCATATATCCTGTGGTTGTAAGAAATTCGAAAGTTCATGTCTGTATTCACAAAAGTATGTCATTGTGCCGTAGCCAAAAATATTTTAATCCAGTCCCCAATTTCACACCTTATTTCATCAACACACACTTTAATATTATGCTCCCATCAATGCCTAGGTTTTCCTGGAGGCTTCTGGACGAAATAAATATATGAAGTGCAGGGATTTGGGGCATAAACTGTGCTATCCCTCAAACAACATTATTTTTACAATTATCCTTGATTTCGAAGAGTTTTTCTAGTAATAAAAATAAACCGTAAATAATCTTGGCCTGTCATGTTACGTAAGAGGAAGTGATCATGAGTTATTTCATTCGTATCCGAAATTTAACAGGAATAATTGAGGTCCTCGGCCGGGATTCGAAACTAAGTATCTTACGAATAGAAAGCAGAAGGATTACTGCACTGCGAACATGCTGTAGCTATGCCACAGCGTAGGAAGATCAGTCACCGGCTTCTTACTACCGACACCCGGGTTCGCTGTCAAGCAGTCCACGTGGGCAAAGTAGTACTAGGGGAAGATTTTCTCAAATTCCATCAATATCATTCCGCCGATGTTCCATACACTCTCGTGTCATCTCGGGGATGGACAGTGGGCCCGTTAGAGGCCGCAGTTTCACAGAGACAGTCGCCCCACCGCAACAATAAGAAATCATACTGTATTCAATGCAGCTAATGGAAAGTGTCCGGCTTGTGTGAGGCATGAGAGTCGTAGACCCAGGTTCTTGCCCCTTCGCGGTGCAGTCATTGCTCAGACATAGCTGAGGGGCGGCCACGCGATATGCTATCATATCGACAAACATTTGGCAAATAAGGAACACAACAAGACAATTTAATATAAATAACGCTCATTAACCATATTAAAGTTGGTATTTTCAGCAAAACGCATTCTTTGTTTTATATTTCTGTAGCAAAGTATAACAGTTATTTGGCTGAATTAAGGGTAAACAGCTGCTGGTGGGGTGTAATAATGCCATACAAGGAATGCGAGCCACTTTCAATGCGATATGCCTAGATCGTAACAGGACAGTATTGAGGAATTCGAAGTAAATTATAACAGGCATGCATAATCCGAACACCCTCAGAGATCAAAAAATCATAATCATATTTCCTTATGACTAATACGAACTTGCTGAGACTGCGCGATACAACTTGAATTCCAAAATGCAATGACATGAAGTGTCAGTTATTTTGTATCTCCCTGTAGTTTTCATAGGTCGTTATTTAAGGTGTTATTAGGGCGGGCAAAGAGGCCGTTAGCTTCATATCCTAATGCGATAATTCCAAGCCCAGATCTTCTTGTTCCTAACGTCTTAACAGACAGGTGTCTCCAGCTGGAAACATATAATTGAAAACGATTTCTTACTTCCATTTTTTTTACATCTTCTGCCCTCAAAGTTCGTAACCTCTCATTTGCCTGATATTTCATAACCATGTAGAGGGAAGGTTTTATACCGTCAAGTGGCAAATTGAAGGGCTGTCAAGAAATAAGCCACCAAGTTTTATTTTACAAAAATTTCCATCTAGCTGTAGCATTTCTTCAATGAGGTTCAACGGCTTTTACTGTGTCTTATGACAAGACTTCAGGAAACGATTTAAGTGACAGTGATTTAGAGCCAGATCAGAGCTCAATCATGCCATTGCTATAACCTTCTTCTATAACAAGATTAAAAATATATTCCTTCTTTAACATTTCATGGCTGTGAACGAGAAACGAAAGATATACTCAATACGTTCTTTTGTAAACCTCACAGGCTTCTATGTTCATTTACGACATATAATCTATTGTGAAACTGACATATCATTCACCACCACTTTCGTTAAATATTCTCCGTATAAAAACTAATTTAAAATAAAAGTTGTAGACCTTAATAAAATATACTGTATGTTTATGTGACATACAAATTTATTATGCACTGTTCAACGAGCTGATTTTAATAAAATCTATAAAATTCGAGTTTCGTATAAAATAGTGGTTCATATCAGACCTACACAAACCAAAATAAAAATCTATAAAATTCGAGTTTCGTGTAAAGTAGTGATTCATATCAGACCTACACAAACCAAAATTAAATTCATATCACAATATTTTTTGCAGATCTGGGTGTCAGAAAAAAACTACTGTAAATATAATTTTTAGCACCTGTAACAGAACACAATGTAAATTTCTTATATTAACCTCTTCCTTGATTCATTCATAACAAGATCCATAAAATCATATTTTTTATTTCACAAATGGAATCTACTCACAAAAATGACATGACGAAAAATAATTAAGAGTGCTGTGCAAAATATAGTTTATATAATTTAAATTATTACTATCACGAGTTATATCGGGTCACATTCCATAGTTAGACATAGTGCAAAAATACACAGACGTAAGCGGCTTATTAAAGTACAGCAGTATTTCATTTGCTGACATCTACAGTCTGATATACGTATTTTCTTCACGAGTGTAATAATGAGACGAAAATAAATACTGTCCAAAATTAACTCGGATAAATATTTTTTTTGCAAAAATCATCAACCCAAGATATCTCGGAATGATCAGGGAAGCGGTTAAAATCAGTTTTAAATAAAATAATGCTCCTACAGGAATAATGTATACTGTCCCGGAACGCACTGATGCCAAGGAAGTTGCCGAATGTACAGTGATGGTAGAAGACTTACCTGCTCATATTTCTCGAGTTCTTGGTGATAAATCTGGCGGATTTGTGCGAGCTTGGCGCGGTAATCTGAGTGCTCGATGGCATTATCTGGCTGTCCGGGACCACCCGATGCTGCCGCCGAGGCGCTGGCTGCTGCCCCCGCACCACCACCCTTTTCAGGACCTGCTACCCCCTCGGCTATAAGCATGTTGTCTAGACGCATCAGCTGCGGGTCCGGTGGTTCCTCTTCCTGTGTGTTGCGAAGGCTCAGCACTGAAACAGCAGAAGAATGACGCTGCGTCTCATAACCACCACTTCATGAAAGATACTCTATGTCATTCAAAATAACTATAGAAACACGGTCACGGCATCTGGGTGAGACAAGATAAAACCTAGTTCACAGTCAGCCGATAGTCGCCTCCAACATAAGAGCCACGAGTCCTGATGATAGAGGCAACAAGGACCTCTGAAACGTTGGCAAACTTCTACCAGACTACACGGCGCTACAACCCAGAAGACAACCATCTTCAGACTCACCGCCGTGAAAACATCAAATTCTTGGGCTTTTCCCCTCGTCTGAATTATATATAAAATCACAACGTTTCGGAAGCTGGATATGCTTCTATCTTCAGGTAAGAGAGGGAAACCACAGAAACCTTATCAGATGGGTCTCTTTCAGGTTTCATCAACGTAAACACACTTTCCTTTCAATATAAAAGGAGACACCCATTGAAAAGTTATACGTCATTTTGAACAAGACAATGAACAACGCCATAATAATTTTCCTATTGGTTACGTACCTACTTCACATAGCGCCTTCTACTGAGTAACATCACTTCATTTTATCTGATAACGGAGCCTACATTCCCAAAAGAGAATGGCAAGCGTTTTAACACGACACTGAGCAAGTTTGCTTCTATGCGCCATCACTTGGTCCACGTACGTGCCAAGAGAAGGACGAGTTTATGAAAGAATTATGAACGAGGGGCCCCTCAAGTGGCCGGCTGGCTCTAGTCTTTTAAACGCTTGGAATCCTCGGCTCAAGCTTGCTTCCTACAGAGGAGTGTTGCTCGTAAAAATTACTGATATGAAAACTACCGAGAAAAGGACACATTGCTGGGCGGCGGAAAAGCACCAGAGCGGGGCGAGAGATTTATGTTCTGGTACGGTCAAGATGGCCTGGCTGGCTGGCACAGCGATGGGGAGGGGAGAGTGACCCTTTTCTGGAACATCGCGACGCTGTTTCCAGTTGCACGTCGCCACTGTCTGCACATAACACACAAAAAAGAATATGTTGACCCGCGATATTTTTGCATCATACAGTGTGCAGTCTGTGCCATACGTTTGGGGTCTCAACTATTGACAGAACAGCTATTTACGATTATGTAAGGTAACTAAACTGAAATACCGAGTCGTAATTCAAGTTTCTGTAGTTCACAACTGATAATTTTACGTTTCTGGCGTTATGAGTCGATATGCGAATAACAAAAACAACACTGAGAAACTGACAAGCAATTCAAATCGTGTCCCCCGCTTTAAAGTTAGTACAGCAACTGGTGTGCTGTCTTTTATGGTTTAAAATGCGTCTCCTGTGTCTTACTGGCGGTAGCTGATGCTGAAAACCTCCTCGTTATTTTTTGACGCGTTATATTAACTGCCTTAATAAGGCGAGGCGAATATATGAATAAAGAGTAGTTAGAGAAAATTAAAAGACAGCAGCAAATAAGAAGAACGTAATTCAATTACACCCTTCCTCTGGAATAAACTGCTTCTTTATTTTCCACTAGCGTCTAATTTTGGGGATAAAAAGGTGTTCAGAAAGTATTAGCCAAATACTTGAGACCGAACGTGAACAAACAACTTAATTGATAATAATATGGAAGGACAGAATTAAATTACAATGTTCAAGAAACTTCGCCTACGCTGTATCAGAGTCTTTGTCACTTTTCGTTAAATCATTAAATAAGAAATAGCAAGAGAAAGGTGCAGTTAACTTCGGTGTATGGGGAAGAAGGACAACACGGAGTCACATTACGTCGATTCTGGTATGCTACAAAGTTTGGATAATTCTCGCTTAACCCTAATAAACGGGCCACGGTGCTAATGTGGATAATCGAAAATCCGGTTAATCGTGAGAAACATAAGAATAAATTAAATAAAACGAGTCAAGACAATTATGAATCCTGACATTGTATTCTATTACGAGCTACGCAACTTCATGTCCAATTTAACTAAGATCTGAAGAAGACTGTCTTCTGGGATGTTGCGCCGTGTTGTCTCCCAGGAACTGGCTGACGTTTCAGAGATGTTTACTGTCTCCATGATCAGCACCTCCGAAACGTGGGCCAGTTTATAGCAGACTATACGGCGCGACGTCGCATAAGACAGTGGGGCATGACACTTCAATTAAATGGAAAATACAATAAAGTAATAGGAAAACCACACATGAGATATATGTGAAGATGGGAGAATAATATTAAAATACATATTAGAGAAATAGGGTATGAAGGTATGGAATATATAAAACCTTATGAAAATCTGACTATCCACTTGCGCCTTTACATAGAGATTATTTTTAATACTGTCCATTGTCAAATTAATAATAATTTACGGTGTGAAACTGGCTCAGTACAAGATCCAGATATAGGTTCCTGTGAACACGATAAAGAACTTTCGAGCTCCATAAAAGTCGGAAAATATCCTAACTGCCTGAGCGACCATCAGTTTCTCAACAAGGTCTCTACCCCATGGAAGTTTTGCGGTAGCCATATTCTAACCGATTAGGTATTGTATAATTCTGGCTATTAAATTCTGCTCCAGTGTAAAAAAAAGAAACAGTAAAATAACTTAACAACTATTTCGACGTTATAACGTTGCCTATGTCTTTGGGGACATGCACGCTCCCCAAGTTTGGAACCCAGGACTCAGATGCTGGTGTTCTTAGGCTCCTGGAACACACAACACAGCTGGAGGGCCCTTGAGCCAGTCCGCGTTCTGCACTTCTCGTATGCAGATTTATGACGACGACAGAGCTTGGCGCCTTGATACGACGAGTGGAGGCCGCTATCTGCCCAGTGTTAAAAACTGAAGTGTAATACCGATCCAGTGTGTGTGTGTGTGTGGGGGGGGGGGCATCTTTCAGCTTTTTCTTAACTCCCTAATCGTTCACACTTAATCTAATTTATAGTTTTTAAAAACCTTTTAAGAGGTTCACCCCATATAACAAGTTATATATTCCTGTTATGTGTTGTGAAATGCAATTGCATAACTTTTTATTGCCCTCAATGAGAATATCCACTTCTAGTGCCTTTGTTTTGTTTTTCTCTTATCACTGAACACTTTCAGGGGTCTTGTAGTAAAAGGTTGGCTTTTCAGTATCTCAAACAGGATCGCTATGCTTTAACACATAACCGCGAAATCATTTTGTTGTAACGGAGAATTAAAAACTTATCGTAAACAAATGTGCAAAATTTGTATGCCTTCTTTCCACACAGAACATTTAAAGTGAGGAAGACGCATCAATCAGCCAAGAATGTCGGTGAGTTACAGCTCTCAGACAAGGCAACGGAAGTGGAAGAAATGTGGTACGGATGTCTGCATTTTCGTTTCGGGGCGCTTCAACCAAGAAGTTGGAATCAGTGTGTTTCTCCTAAACGTCGGAATTTACCAACAAGTCTAGACGGCGCCAAAACCCAGAAGAAGATCATCTCCACCGTCCTTAAAAACTCAAACGATCAACTTTTTTAAAAAATTCTTTACTGTACCCTGACCCCATATAAGCTCTGATTATACTGCGTCTAATTAATACGTACATAAGAGGTTCATTGTGCGAGAGTTCGACAAGGCACAAAATGCAGACCTTGTTCACAATTACAAGTCCAGTAATCATTTGTTGAAAATAAAATTAAACAGGAATCTATAAAAGCGTATTTGCGTTAATATAAATTATTTATTACAACAAACAAATCAAGTTGCTGCGATGTACTTTCCAGTACAGCCGGTGATCACGCGCTACAGTTTGATAACCTGTGTATTTGAATATTCATACCTTAGTCCAACCTGTATACAGTACGGTCGGTCACAGTTGCAAACTTCGTGGATCATCAATTTTGATTCTCGAAGCTTGGAAGCTCGATAGTTCAGTAGGGGTAGCATTTGATGGATGGCAGAGAGGGGGGTGTCGGGGGTCGACGGGGGGTACATCCCCGACCTGTCAGCACATTCAATGATATTATTGGTAGCTGTCATCTTCCCAGCGTGACTTCTGGTCAAACTGATAGCCATACCTCCATTGACAGTGCAATGATATCTCTCTCTGTATCATACAATGTAGTACTTTTATGCGAGTAACCGACCTACGTACTTATTACGACTTCTGTCGCCGTACATGGCTGCATAATTGTGCGTGTCGTTGATGATAACGCAGATCCCAACTCAACATTCAATAAAGATATAATACAAATGTGAGAGACTTTTAAGTTCTCACACCTGTGAGCATGAAGATTGCTGTCTTCTGGATTTTTGTACCGTGTAATCTGGTAAAAGTCTAACGACGTTTCAGAAATACTGGCTACCTCCATCATCAGGACGATTATCCCAGATATTGGTTAAGAAGAAGGTCCAATGACGCATGTCGTGAAGACGAAAATAAACACGAATCTTGTTTACCACACTATGGAACTCGGATGTTCAGAAATTATACCAGCAATTTTTAAGCAACTGGTAGAATAATATGTGCAGAATATCCTGATGAAATGGTTGGTTCCCCATTGGGTAAATAAAATTACAAAAACACTGATGTGATAAATGTTGTAAAAATCTATTTCAGATCATGTATGCGTCACATAAAGACACTTCTCTGTCCTTAAATAACAAGGTCTGCTCCTGGCTCACAAACACACAAATGACAAATGCTGAAGCAAATATTACTACTAGCAATTACAACAAAATAACAACAACAATATATAGTGAGCGGTTTTGTGTCAAAACCACCGGAATTTTATTCGATACGTAACAGGTCTGTATCTTGATTGGGGTTCTTCGTGATCTCTCTCTCCAGACAAATACAAAATAGCACATAGAAAAATACCACAGCCACTTCCTTCTATATTCAGCTTTTATCATCATCTCCCGTCTTCCTCGACGCGATACAATCTCTGAGTTCAAACAGAGTCGTTAAATAACCTAATAATTAACAGTGAAGAAATTATCACCTCAGGTGTGAATACTGGTATATGGTACGACCGGAATGGTCATTAGAAGGGAAACGCACC